GCGGGCGGGAGGATTTCAAAAAGGGTTGTAGACGACATGAACGGCGACCAAAAAAAAAAAAAAAAAAAAAAAAAACAAGACAGGAAAGGGACATCCGCTGCATCGACCATTCGACCCATGCAAGCGACAAGCCGGGTAGCCGTTGCCGACCTTCCACGATCATTCCAAGCGCCATACCTTTGGCTGTCCGAAGGCATGCAAAGGGTTCATGCAATCCTAGCGGCCCTATCACCGCACATTCCACATCGTCGGGCTGTAGGAGCAGCTTGCGGAGCGTACCTTGGACATTGACTGCTTCATCCGATTGTCAATGGTACTAGCAACAAGGCCGGCGTGCGCGGTGGCAGTCTCCCGAATGTGGCAGCCCGAGTCCCGCGGATCTGCAGTGAGGTTCGTGAGGACATCGCCGTGAGGGGCGTCATCCCCTCAAGACGGACGAGAACATCACCTGCATGCGTGCCACGTTGCTGACTCCTCGCTCACTACGCATCGGCCATCGGTCGGAGTCATCTCCCGATTTCCCAGTCCCCCGTTCCGGCCCGACGTGTACTCCGGCCACGTTAGTTTCCACCCGCAACCGGTTCAGCAGCACAACAGCCGACGACCCTGCAGCCACGTGTGTCTGCCGCATTGACGACGGTAGAGGCGTCGGGGATCAACCTGCCTGGCAGCAGAGGTCATATCTGTTGCTGCTGCGGAAGGGGAGCAAGCTCCACATATGTCCGTAGTCCTTGCATTTCCCTTCATCCCACAGTCCTCTTCATGCTAGGGTTGTCGGTCATCCTTGTCATTGCCATCTTCCTGGCCTGTGTTGTTCTCCTCCTCGCTCTCGCCTTTTGCGTTGCCGTTTTCGTCCGTTTCTCGTAGGGGACGAAGGTCATGCTGTTTTTGCATTGTCATCTGCTTTGTGAGCATGGACAGACAAAATTGGGTTGAGGACGGCGAAAACGGAGGTATGGGACGTTCTCGCCATAGTTCCCAACAATCGGCGCAGTATCAAGGCTTGCACTCCGTTCCGCCATCCACCCACTTGTCCATGCTGAGTCAGGACGCTGACAAGTTCGGTGTCCCTCCTACCTTCCCCGCGGCTGTTGGGCAACTGCCGGCATGGAGGAACGATCCGCCCGGCCTCCGAGATGTGCGACTGGGTCATGTACCTTTCTACCATGCTCGAGATGACCATGGGGGTGTGGCCGGCCGCGGCAGTTCGTTTGCCGCTATGTACTCACAACCGGCTGCCGCTCACATGCCCGTGCACGGGGGCAGCACGATCGGTGCAGGCAGTTTCACAGCGGCGCTGTGCGGGGAGTACGAAGATCCTTTCTCCGGTGGTCTCCCTAGACGGATGTCAATGGACGATCTGTCAGGACCACAGCGGTGTTACGGGGTGACATCCAACCAGCAGTGGAATGGCGGTGTCTACATCCATGGACAAAATGACTTATCGAGACGTGGGGCACAAAGCAGGAGTGGGCAGGGGACATTGCCACAGGGAGGAACGCCGGGGCATGGCCAATCAGAAGTGACGACGGTGGCGAACGTGGACAATGGCAGTGGTGTGCGTGAGGGGCACGCGTGCCCTCATGCAGCCCCCCAATAGGTCACAGTCGAGGCTTGGTCGTCCGAGTCCGTTGATCGTTTGCGTGTCGGCTTGCCACCGGCAAGCCGTGGTTAGGGGAGGGGGCGAGGTGAAGGTCGCCCCGGCACAAGTGACAGCAGTGGACAAAGCGGTCGGGCAAGACAGCCGGCACGGGGAGGACGTGGCAGAGGAGGGTGCACTCCACCCTCCTCTGCATGCGCTGCGGAGGCGAGTGGGAGTGAAAAGGACGTAGGGGGGCAGGAGACCAATGACAACCCGACAACAGTTGACGAGGGAATGCATAAAGGAAAACCTCCTGCCAAAAAGATAGTGCCTTGGACCCTGGAGAAGTGCTTGGCATTGGCGAAATGGCAACGTGAGGATGACGCCATGATGGCAGATGCGTCCGCCAGGCACAAGTGCATGAAGAAGGGGCAGAGACAAGAGTGGGTGTCCGAGCGCATGAAAGAGGAAGGGATTATAAGGTCCACTGAGGACTGCAGGAAAAAATGGTTTAACCTGGGACAGAAGCTGAAACTGCTTGTGAATAAGGTGGGGCGGTCAGGCCATCAATCGTATTGGGATATGATCGAAGAGGAGAGAGAGGCCGAAGGTCTTTATGCCACATTCGATCGACGTCTTTGGCAGGCGATGGAGTGGATGTTGCAAAGACCGTCTGGGACGTGTGATGAAGCGATGAACTCAGACAGCATGGGTGGAGGTGAAGCAGAAGGCACGKGGGGAGGTTCAGGYGWCCAAGYAGGGTCAGACAGAGGAGGGTCCGACACGTCGGGAAGTAGGTCGAAGCTCAGGCGAACCAGCGGCAGCAGACTCCATGTTGGAGATGACCCATCGTCTGTGTCCTCTGTGGGAGCTGCCATGGCTGAGTCCACACGTGTGTACGTGGAGGGTTTGGATAGAGCYGCGGYGACGATTGCTCAGGCGAACAAGGAGGGTGCGACCATCGTCGCCAGGAGCATTGGCGAAATGGCGACGCAGATAGGTGCAGTCGCATCAGCCATGGGTGAAGGAAACGCTGTGATGCAGCTCCTTGTTGGTGTGGTGGGTGCTCGAAATTCGGGCAGACCGCGGAGTACCCGGGGGGTGTAGGAGCACCGATCCTTGAAAGTGGTGGGTAGTGAAGACGCTGGTAACAAACGGTACAGGGTACAAAACAGATGTGGGGAAGTAGAAGAAAAACAGGAACGCAGAAAAAAAAAAATTAAAATAACGGGGTTGTCACATCCATCAGCGGACCGTCACTCCTCGTGCATTGGCGCATCCATCGGTGAATTGAAGGGGTCGTGTCGGGTCCGACACCACGGTGGCTAGTCACAGGCGGGAGGGGGGGGGGGTGGGGGGGTTTGTGGGGGGGGGGGGGCTGGTCGTAAAATCTCGACTGCGGGTGATATCTTCTGCCCTCGTCCGGAGCTATAAATTCACGGATTGGACAGAGCGACAACATGAGATCGCCCTTGCCTGTCTCTCTGGTGGTTTGTGCTGACTGAAGTCGAAGCCCCCTTCCGAGTGCGTGTGCACACCAGTCGTGGGGAGAGAGAGAGAGAGAGAGAGAGAGAGAGAGAGAGAGAGAGAGAGAGAGAGAGAGAGAGA